ATATTAGAGTACTACTCAGTAGTAAAAAACAAGGACTTCTTGAAGTTTGCAGGCAAATGGATGGAAATAGAAAACACTATCCTGAGTGAGGTAAGCCAGACCCAAAAAGAGGAACATGGGATGTACTCACTCATATTTGGTTTCTAGCCATAAATAAAGGACATTGAGCCTATAATTCGGGTTCTTAGAGAAGCTAAATATTGTTTTAAATTCTACATTTAAAATTTATCTTTAAGGGTCAATTTTCTCCTTACTTATTTTATAAACAAGCCTGCTTTGCAAATCTGTCTTGAATCTTATATATTATGATGGCAGTAATTCAATAGGTCAGAATAATTCTGGGATAGATCCAAAAGGTTTGCACTTCATTGTATTCTCAGTTAAGACTAGAACCCACCCCTTTCTTCTATTAGATTTATAAGAAGTTTATTATTTCAATTATCTTGTCTCCCCAAAGAAAAAGGCTATTGGGGTGAAGAATATCTCCACTGAGGGGTTAGGAGAGGTTTGGTAAGGAAAATAGAGACAGGGTACCTGGTGGCAAGTTTAAGCAAAAACATCTGGAAGGACGAGGATGAAGATGAGAAGGAGAGTTAACTTGAACAAAAGATGCAAGAAAAAAGGGATATGCATAGGGTTGAGGTCTCATGGGCTCTCCTTTTCCATGTTAGAATGTCTGTTTGTGTTGTGCTTGTTCATTTCATGTTTAGAGAGTCATGTTGGTGAAGCAACTCTGGAATTCTGAGAATGGATGACATAGAATTAACCAGGGAAGAACATACTAAAGCTTATCAAATATCCAGTGGTCAGTCCTGAAATGTACATACAAGTAACATTATACAGACTAAACAGGTTTTTTAAGGATTGTGTATGTATGTACACACACAAATAAGAATAGGTGTGTTTCAAGCTTTTTATTGAAAGCTGTATAGCATTTCTTTTTACCCCAGAATATCAGTAAAGTAAGGTAGCAGATTAAGACAGAGGGCAGAAAAATGTAAACAATTTTTGTTTGATATTTTGTGGATTAAATAATATATCTCCTAAATATTTCATTATCTATCATGTAGTAAAGTTGGGTTGATTAAATGATACCCAGAGAAACTGATGACAACTCTTTCAAAAATAGCATTAACAATGCTATTAAAATCATCATCTGATTTTGATAAACTAATTTCACATATGTGTCACCCGCAAAATAAAATTATTTGGACATTGCAAATCTTAAAGTTCTTCATCTAGAAAATGTAAGCTGGTAATGGTTTCTTACTCTGAAAAGAGGGAGGATTATGCCTAGGGAGTCTGTAACACATGTTGTGTGATATTTTGATCATGTTCTATCAAATAAAGCTTGAGGATAGAAATAACCACTTGTGAACCAAATTAACTACGAAGGTTTTGGAGAACTGTAGACAGATAGGACAGAAAGTAGTAAGGTGAGATGAAGAGGGATCTAGGCCCCTTTAGAGGAAGGATCAGAGCAGGTAAGAAAGTACTGGTGGCTTCTCTGCTTCCCTTAGCCTTCACGTTCTTACCCCTATATCTGACTCCTGAATTATTATTGATAAAGAATAATTAGAACAATAGTTTAAGTATATCTGCCATCTAGATGTACTAATTGTGGCGTCTCAACTTCATTACTTGATTTCTGCAGAGAATGATGATGTAGGTGACAGAGATGGGCATGCTAAGGGGCAAGGAGTTTAGTTAAAGACACAGTCACATAACCTGTGCCTTACAGGATCAGAGCTCAAGTCTATGTAGCCTTTGTCCTCAACTGCTGGGTGTCTTCTCCACTATGCTGTTCCATCATTCTTATCTGTGCAGCTAAGTTCATCACTATAGGAAGCTAAATGGAGGTAGTAGCAGCCTGACATTCTGAAGACTCATTATTTCTCATCACATAATCTCCAACCATCACTGAATAAAATAAAAGATAGTGAATAAAGGTTTGGAATCCAGAATCCCAGAGCACTCTCCTTTGGGCTTAGGCATCCCAAAAGTAGAGCAAAAAAAATACAAAAGAAAATTGAGATTTTCTTAATTTCACAGGGGAAAAGCAGTAGATTACTATGAGGCAACAGAGGAGGTACAGTCTTTAGAGATGAAAGAACCTAAAGGATATCCTACTTAAAATAAACAACAGTCGTCTAGTATATCCTAAGACTCTAACTGGTGATAATTGTGCACCATTCAGCAGCTGTATTAGTGGTACTGAAGTTTGAGAGGTACTGTATCTTGACATGATAAGCAAAGGACAGAATCAATCAACTATTGAATGCAGAGAAAAGAATTTGTTTTCCTATTCTTGTACAGAACAGTATCTTCAGTCTATCTGAACTATTTATTATTCTTTACAATCAAAGAACATGCCTTCTCTAAAAAGAAGGACCTTTTTCCTCTGAGTTGTAGCTGTGTAGGAATTTGGGCAAGAAAGAGAAAGGAGCAGACAGATCTAATTATAGTCAAGAAATTGAAAAAGGCAATGGAACAATGTAAATATGTAGAAAGGCAATGGAACAATATAAATATGTAGTTTGTTTAACTTTCTGACATGAAGAAATTCGCAACCTTATGAATTTCTCAGTCACTCAGTGACAGAGTACCAACATCATTGAGTGATGTAAATGCTGCCCTAATTTTCTTTATTAAACACTTCAGAGTATTAGGAGAGAAATACAGCATAAATGCTATGATTTAGAGTCATTTTTGAGACAGGGTTCTCTATATAGACATGGATGTCCTAGAACTCTCTATGTGGACTAGGCTGGCCTCAGACTCAGAGATCTATCTGGTTCCGTCTCCCAAGTGCTGTGATTAAAGTGTGTGCCACTATGCCCAGCCTAATTCGGCTAATTAATTTTTTTTAATAACAAGAAACAGCCAAAAAATCTCATATTCATTTTCAAAAACTGCTGGAAATTTAAGACTAGAAACCTTCGTCCTTGGGACAGCAGTTTGAGAAATTTCAGCAGCATGAAGGTGGCTATTGCAGGGAAACAGAACAGCTACTTTGTTTAATACAAGGGATGGATGCTTGCTGCTCATCGTATGAGATACAGCTCATACCGTGTTTGAGCAATAAAAGGTTGCTCACTATTGGGAATTCTAACAAAGGATTTTCAGCAATCACATGCTCTTGTCAAAAAATGCTGACTTTTATTGTAACTAGGTATTTTCTATAGAGTTAAGGTAGCTCAGAATGTTAGCTGGCTGTTCTTCATACAACTGTTCACATCACTTGATGACATTTTTGAGTGATCACAAATGCTAATAGAATGAGACTTTGAGCATAAACGTGGATGACATGAGGCAAAACTGGTAATTCACAGCAAGTTGATGATTCATAAGTTACATTTCTTCTCTATGCAAAGGAGATCACACTGTTTAAACCCATGAAAACTAAAAAATAAAAATAATAAAAATGAACAATTAACAATCATGTCATGTAAAGGATGTCATTAAAAATTTATACATTAAGTATGTAGGTTTTTTCTGTTAATTATTATTATTGCATCTGAGGCATTTTATTATTATTTCTTTTGTTATACTCTCAGGATCACGTGTTGGGAAGGAGAAAACAAAACATCCATTATTCTTTTCTTTGCTTCAAAAATTGTTATTGAAGTTCACAGATAATTACCATTCTGTGAAAGTGGATCCAGGGTATCCATCTGTGCCAGGGGCCCATAGGCATAATGCAACATGGTGTTGAAGATGGTAAAATTTTGTGCATCACAAAGTCTATGTTATGCTTTAGGATGCACCACTGGCTAGAGAGTGCCTCCATGCTTCCTCAACCTCAGCACGTGAAGATGATACCACACAGTCTTTTGACAGTTCCTGATAATACTCCACCATTGGTTTGTGGGGAGACTCATATGGCATTGCAGGCGCAATGATTTTTTACTACTTAATGATTTGAGAACTTGATTATAATTGAAACAATCTACCGATAGTTATTGCCATCAACATTTTATTTGGAAAATATAGACTGCACATCTACATTGGGATTTACTTTTTACTGTTTGTACTATATCTTTCTCCAGTGCTGTTTGCAAGAGGAGATTGATTTTTCCACTTAAATTACTATAGATAATTTAATTACATTAAATTATATAGATCCAATGTAATGCTAGAAAACTCCTTATGCTACTTCTAGTGTTTTTGTGTTTGTTAATTATTATTATTAAATTGCTTTTCACTGATGGTTAAAATGAAAATGAACTATATATTTATATTCTAATGAGCTAATGAGTGAGCACTTTATACATACATGGTATACAACAGATAAATGAGGTTATTGTAACTATTTTTCACATTTTATTGTTCATTAAGTGGAAATCATACAAAATACTTTATTTCAGGTCATGAAGAGGTTCAGTTTATTATAGCAATACATTCACAACCCATGGTAGGATCATTATGATTCTGTGATTCTCAGTTACAGGCTTGCAGTGTTCTGGAAGATCTTGCTTGTTTGATCATGGCTTTCATGTCAATTTTGAAATCTGATTCTCCAACTACTTAAAATTCTAAATATTAAACAGATGAACATTTTTATAGTTGCTAATTCTCTAAAATTAGTATGAAACCCTACAGGCTATATCAGAATATCCCCAATTTCTTTCTATAGTTGTAACAACTCGTAGATCATTCCTTCCTTCACAAGTTCAACTAATTGCTATTATTCTCACTGTTGACTCTTTTTTGGTCACCTTTCATTATTTTTAACATTTTACTTTAAGACTCTGAAGAAATACTCTGTGGTTTAAAAAATGTGCCATTTTCTCCAGAAAATATAATTTTAATTATAATAACTAATAAACACAAATAACTATTAAGGATATGTTGTAATTAACCAATAAATGATATGAAATGCAGCCAAAGATAATTGACAATAAAGTATTTGTCTCAAGGTCCTTAGGAGGAGGCACAAAATTTTCAGATACGATATTTTTAACATCATACCAGATGCATTAATATATTATTGATCTCCTCAGTTTTCACTGTTCTTTTAGAATTTACATGTTTTAGATATATAGTTATGTTTGTGCAACTTCTTTTATGTTGCAGCACAGATGGTCAGAACTGTGAAAGGAGTGCAAGCTAAAAATGAGACAGAAGTGACAGAATTTATCCTTCTGGGACTCTCAGACAATCCCGACCTGCAGAACATCCTCTTTGCATTGTTTCTGGTGATCTACATGATGACGCTTGTGGGTAATTTGGGCATGATGGCACTAATTAAGGTGGACCGCTCTCTGCACACACCTATGTACTTCTTTCTCAGCAGCCTTTCCTTTGTCGATGCCTCTTATTCTTCTTCTGTCACTCCTAAGATGCTGGTAAACCTCCTGGCTGAGGATAAGAGCATTTCTTTCAATGGCTGTGCTGCCCAGTTCTTCTTCTTTGGCTCCTTCTTGGGTACTGAGTGTTTCCTGCTAGCCATGATGGCATACGACCGCTATGCAGCCATTTGGAATCCCCTGCTGTACCCAGTTCTCATGTCTGGGAGAATTTGTTTCATGTTGGTGACTACTTCATTCCTAGCAGGCTTTGGCAATGCAGCCATCCACACAGGGATGACTTTCAGATTGTCCTTTTGTGGCTCTAATAAAATCAACCATTTCTACTGTGACACCCCACCCCTGCTCAAGCTTTCTTGCTCTGACATCCATGTCAATGGCATCGTGATCATGGCTTTTTCCAGTTTTACTGTCCTCAGCTGTATTCTGATTGTTCTCATTTCATACCTCTGCATCCTCATTGCTATACTGAGGATGCCCTCTGCAGAAGGAAGACACAAAGCGTTCTCTACCTGTGCCTCCCACCTCATGGCTGTCACTATCTTCTTTGGTTCTATTCTCTTTATGTACTTGCGGCCTACTACTAGCTACTCGATGGAGCAGGACAAGGTTGACTCTGTGTTTTATACAGTAGTGATTCCCATGCTAAACCCTCTCATCTACAGTCTGAAAAATAAAGATGTGAAGGAGGCAGTGAGGAAAATCATACAGAAACGTGTGCTATAAGTCTATACTCTCCATCCTTAGGCTGTGCAGGATGTTGTAGATTTTAAAATTTGCTATCTGATTTATTCAGTCGTTTCTATGTATTAAAGTTGATATATTAGAATTACAGATACTTTTTTGATACAGAAAAGAGACATTTTCCTTATAGCTCTGGAGGTCTGGGTATACTGCTGACATCAGCTTGGCTTGGGTAGTGACCTCATGCAAGATATTACAGATACTTCTTAATCTCCTTTATGTCAGAAATATGTTTTTGAACCCATCTGATAAATACAAATCATAAATAAAGTGTGTGTACTCTCTAGAAGAATCAGAAATTTTGCCAAGACAATTTTTTTCAATATGATAAATGTCATACATGGAAATTTACTATGCATTTTGAATTGCCAAAACATCAGTTATATGATAAATATTTAAATCATGATAGGCAAATTTAACTAATTTATCAGATATGCATTACCAATATCATCCTCATTTTTCTCACATTGCACTCATGAATACCATATGTAATTAAAAATCTTATCAAATATTAAGGTATTTGAACAGCAGCCATTAGATGGAAATATTTTTATCTACTATAATTTGATCTCCTAAAGAAGCTAAATAAGAAGGTGATCCCAAAGAAAAACATATAGCTATCCTCCTGATTATGGGAAGTAGACAAGATTGCCGGGCAAAAAATGGGATCTTGGGGGGGGGGGGGGGGG